TCAAGGCCAGACAGGGCAATTTTTTGTCGGACGCGGCTTCGCTCGCAACGCCCACCAGCGCGGCATATTACGATTTTCTTGTCACATACCCGTATTCAAACAACGTTTTGCGTTTATTAAATGACGCACGTCATTTCTGGCTGGACCTAACCGAATTATTTCATAAAGCCGTATTTAATTATGTAATTAATTATGCAACTGTTCAAGGGGAAAAAGGTAATAAGACTGCGTAACACTCGAATTTACTAATTATATTGATTTCTCCTGCTTTTTGGCACCGTTCGGCGTGGGAGGGAGGTGGGCAGGCATTTCCCACTTTCGCTACTTCCCATTGTTGTGTTCATGCATTACAAGTTGGCAGGTGTTCTTTACAAGATTTGACATGTGGTCCCAACAAGCTTTAACTGGCATCACTTTTTCGCTTCAGATTTCACGGATCTCCACCTGATGGCTCGACACGACAATGGGAAACAGCGAAAGTGCGAAATGCCCCCATGCCGAGGCCTGCTTCTTTAAAATTGTGGGGATTATGTCGACTCCCACGGTTTTCCTTTCACTCCTTGAGAATATTTAGTAACAAATGTTTCTATTAGTTGAGCTCATTGCGCTCTAATTGAGCGCTATTCGGCGACGGGGAATAGCGGGGGGGTCATTTTGTACCACTGCTCACTGCTTTACTGGTTCCGGTTCACAAGTTCCGCTCTGGTGAAACCTGTGAACACTTGTGAAGCTGGAGCAAGCTCGTCTAGCCACCATGGTAAAACCCGTCAACTCTTGTCTTGCTCATGAAAGAGCTCTCTAGATGGGTCGGAGCGCAAAATGCCCCCCATCCCGTCGCCGAACTTCGCCCTCTGATTGCATCAAGCTCTTCGCGTCACTGTTGATCGTTTTACTAGGCTAGTCAAACCAGTTTCTGAAGTAAAAAAAAAGTCAGCGCATAGGGGCGCCAAGTCAGTTGGAAGGGACCAACAGCTAGGTGAGGCCATAGCCAGGTTCCGCTCATCTGCTCTCTCTCTCTCCTTTTCTTGCTCTTCTCTCTCTCTCTCGGAATAGTGTCCAGTGGTTTTGTATGTCTCTCGCGAGGGCGCAGGCAAGAAAAGAATGGGCGTGGCCCAGTCCTGCCGCTGTCCCCTCAAATTAACGTCGACGCAGGATGAGGATGACAGAAGCATAGCATGGATGCTGATACAGTTGCCTCCAGAAGACCCACTAAGGTCCATTTATTGATCCTCTGAGGTCACTACTGCCCCTCACTGCACTCTATAGGACCGGAATGCCCAACCACTTAGAGAAACGCATCTTCACAACATATCCAATAAATGCGAACCCTGGAAAAGTTTCTTTTGAAGGTTCTAGAACTTGTTATAGGGAAGTTTCTTTTGAAAGAGTTCTAGGAACTTTATGGGGATTTATGTAGTTGAAAGGAACGGGACATTTGGCAGTGGAGCCGCGCCACCTATTTTTTTGCTCGTCTGCACCCTCTTAACGAGGTGGTTTCCGTGGCAGCGCGCTGGAAACAGATTGACCGGTTCGCGCATGCTGCCTCCCCCTGCTCTACCTTAACGCCAAATTATACTCTTACTGTACTCCACCATAGTTTCAGTCGTCTTTGTGATGATGAGCAGAAATTGTGTGCACGGCGCACATCCAACTAACCAGCAACTTCTACCTTTACTTTCAATGTACTCCAAAGGCAAAATTTATATAGGAGGAGAAGACGTTTTTTTCATTTTGCCATTTTCAAGAACATTCTGAAGATTTTTCTTCCTAGGTGTGGAATTCACTCGACATGCTTCCCAATTCATCGGTTGTGTCGCCGCTTATGTGGTGGAGATGAAACGATGTGTCGCATTGGAGAAGACGTTTCCAGCGCCTACCGAGCCGTCAATCACCCCTCAACAGGTGTGCTACGGTTTTATTTGCAATGGGCACGATCTCTGCCAGTTTTCTGAACGCAGTTCGGCTTGGTGGGCAGCAGCATCGTGATGTGTGAAATGATTGCGTAGGTACGACTCCCCCCCCCCCTCTGAGAGAGGGTGTCAGTACGACCCCCCTCCACCTAAATGAGGGTCTCGGTACGACCCCCCGCTTCCCCAACACCTACCTACCAATTTCCCATATTTTCCAGTTTTTCACCCAAAAATTCCGAAAATTTTCCATCGAGGTGGGGGGGGTCGGATCGCAGAAGGTGGCGGCGTGGTCGAGGGAGGATAGAATAGCTTCCTACCACTTTTTCCGGAAATTACCCAGAATTTTCCTACTTCTCCCCAAAAACCTCGCTGTCGTGGAGGGGGGAGGGGGAATGAAAGGGTGGGTGTATAGTACACATGTAACAGGCAAAATTTTTTTCCCTACGCAACAAATTTCTCTCACGATCACGATCCCCTCCCTTTCCCAACGACCAAATACGACCCCTCTCCCCAGCGGAAAAGTACGACACCTTCCTCCCCCCCATGTGTTTCACACAACGATGCTGTACCCTGTTGGTGGGGGTATATTGCTGGTATCTATCGTTCATTGCCGATGCCTCCTGCGGAAACTTGTAAACTCCCGTGGAGCTGTGCAGTAGCACGAGCTTCGTTTACACTTTGCACGAGTATACTGGTCTCACCAAGGTTAGTTAGTTTAACAACTAGTTGAACAGGAACTAACTAAATGAACTACCGAGAGTGCAAAATGCCCCTCCCAAGCCGAACAGCGCCGTTTTTGATTACTGTAATCGAACCTCGAGAACTACTGGGGTGAGATTAGGGGGGGGGGGTGAGTGAAGAGAGTGGTGACGAGGGTGAACTCTAACGCTGAAGCTCAGTCACCGTAGCCGGCAACGTGGTGATTCGCTTCCACTGCAACCTTGCATGCGCCGGTTGCGCGGCACAACTGCACTGCCGCATTGCGGATCTCCTGATCCACAGCGGCATTGGGGTTATTCAAAGTGGTTTTAAAATGAACTCGATATGAAAAATGAATGGAAAGAAGTGGAGCAAGGGTTTTGTAACTGGTATTGTGTGGTGTATTCCAATATATAAATAAGGTGTGACTGAAGAAAGTGGGCAGTGGCAAGTAGCAGCATGCGCGATTGGTCAATTGAGTGCTTCGGATTGTCCCGCCTAATCCAGCCAAGGTCTCTACGATTGACTGCATACATGTATTGCAACGCCTTTTGCCAGTACGCTACGCGTGAGCGTTCCCTTAGAACGGTTCATACTTCGACACTCTCCGGCGATTCAGTCGCGCGATTGCGACTGACCGTATTCCACCGCTGGTTATTGGACCGCTACAAAATCCGAAACAGGTTCTATCGATTATATTAGCAACTGGAGCAGTTCAGCAGTTAACAGTGGGGCGCGATTCACTGCAGAGCGATTCCAGATCGCGCGACTGAATGGCTCGAATCGCGAAGTATGAACGCTAAATGACGTATGTTAATTTTACAGATTGCTAATATGGAAGCAATGTTGGTGACGCTAGAAAACTTGATCACCGTCCACTTCTCCACGAGCGAATCGTCCCCCACCGACAAGGTAAGTACCGTTATCGATCGGTTGTGAACTTTCCGGCCCAAGATAGCTCGGGTGTGCTTAGTGGAGCCACTGTGCCACATCATTTCCTGTCTTGTCTGCCGTTTTTCGTCCTGCCAAATCTTTCCGGAGCCTAGGAATAGGTACGGCTATAATGGGTATAAGAGCTCCAATTCTTTTTCATGAGAGGACCAGACGAGCAGGCATGACGTGTGATGGTCTCCCACACCCCCAAGTATCTTTGCTCTCATTTTTTACACGACTATTCACTAATTTATCGTCATTCAGGTAACTCCACGGCGGCGACGAGCGACGTCGTGTCGACCGCAATGTGTGTGTTCGAAGCTCAAAACGAGCTACGCCTAACCACTGCCCCTCCCTCGTACGATATTTGTGTGCCGTTCGTCCGCCGCGCGTCCGCTCGCTTACTTGTTAACATATCGATCAGGCTCGCGTCGGGCGGCACCATTGTATGTGTTTCATGGATTGCGGTTATTCAGCTCAACACATCGCTAGCATCTTCTATCTCCCCCGGTTCAGCACATCCCGCTCGCCCGCCCATTCGCCGACGCCGCCCTGCCGTACCCTACTGACTTCACATGTCACACTCCCCTACACGGAACTATACGCACTTTTGCGCTTCACCGTAATCCGCCGTGGGTCCTGCAGCGCGCTTCCATGTGTGGCTACTACGGTCGCTCCGATTTTCCAGTGTGTGCATTTCTGTGGTTTGTTGGTGGTAGTTAATTCCTATATATCGTTATTGTCCCTCAATGCATACACCTCTTTCCGCACATCTGGGGCATAGTGCCGTTCTAATCAAATTATCGATTAGCCTCGCGCGCGCGTGCACGTACTGGTCAGTTCTCTCTCCCGTCGTGCGCTATATCCATCATCATCATCATCATCATCAACTATTTATGCGCTTTATTGTGTGTAACGCTCTTTATAAGACCCCTAACCATCCCCTGACCCAGACCCGTCTTCATTTTTTCCTTGTCAATTCGTTTCGCCCTCAATACGAGCATATTACCGTACGACATATGTGTTTTGTACATTTCCTAGGCGCCTATTTTTTTGTCCATTCATTTATTTCTGCTGATGAAATTTGACAAAATCAATTCACGATAAGACCCTCATCTCTATTGAAACCCCAGTGGAATTTCATATTTGATTATGTAACTCAACACTCACATTTATGACTCATCCCAAAATCTATAAACGTGATCAAACTCTCAAAATTACTCGTTCTAGTCCCATACTTGTATATAACATATGGTGATTTATATCGTGCTTAATCCATGTCATCAATAAAGATTTTATGCTGATTGTGAGTGATTTTTTCCGGAGAATCAATAATTAATCTGCTATGGCGGATACCCTTGGCGAACGACATGGGCGTTTCGATGGGCACTGCCGCCTGGTAAATCGATACCGTATTTAAAGTTGGGTAAGCGACAAGACAATCGCAAGATGCCGCGCTGGGCGTGGCCAGCGACGCCGCGCATGCGAGAGACGAGTTGTCCTGCTCGTGTATTTGAATCCGAATGGTAAAGGTACTGTAAAGTTCGATATCGTGCCGACTGGAGCCAAGCATCTGCTTAAATTCACGTCAGTTTCACTGCTGCAATCGGCCAACTGATGCACATCGAGAATATGTCGCAGGCGGCCGCACGACGCGACGGAGCGACAAATTACGATTGTCTTGCCCCGTCCCCCTCCCCCCCCCCCAAAGTTGCCATGGTGATGATGGGATTGGATTTTTTGCGGGAAACTATTTGGGTAAAGTCTCAGGCGCCAACGTAGTAGGGGATAAGACTCAGCGGCGCTCTTGTATCTCTTACTTGAATCGCGAGCCTATCTTTGGAGCGGATTACACTTTTGTGGCGAGGTAACTCTGATCATCTGCGCTCTAAGGCCAAGTCTTGGTCAGGAGAAGCGCATCGCGCGAGTGGCACCAACCTCCCCCCCCCCAACTACATTGAAGTCGAATTCTGATCAACAGTAAGAAAAAGCGATCCAGGGGACTCGAAAACCACGACTGAGGATAGCTGGTTTTCATCAGTCCTTGAACGTGCCGTGGGGCTGTGGAGCTGGGGCCTTCTGCCTCACTAATAGTTAAAATAAAACTAACCATATGTCCTCAATCCCTTACAAGGGATTGGTTCCAACTTTCCATGGAGTTTTGAATGGCGACCTAAGAACATGGAGAGAGTCTAGAATGCTGATTGCGAATATGTAGATCAAAAAAGCTACGGGAATCTCCCAAACGAGTTCTAGGCGATCGGCACTGTGGCCTAGTGGAAAACCGTCTCACTTTCACAGTCAGGAGCGTGCAGGTTTGCTCCCCGATGATGCGAGGACTTTCCGCTCTGTATCCCGACAAATAAGGCGTTTACTTGCTTGGATAAAGTGATGGAAAACGGTTTGGACCACACCACACGCGCTGCACTGACACGCCTCATCATCCGCAGCGAATTAAAATTTATTTTGTAGTTTCATTAACGCTGAATTACCAATTTATCGTTAATCTCCAACTCGACGGCATACCGCGCTTCATGGTTAGAAGTGTCAGGCGGCGTATGCCATATGGACGCGATTACTTTCCGCTGTGGAGTCATTTACACTAAGTTCGCTGCGGACGGTTGGGCGTGTCAGGCAGTATGAGTGTGTCACCCCGTCAAAGCCGTTCTCTGCCTTCTTGTTGAAGCGCGCATGCGACAAAAAGTGGTAGAAAACGAGTAATACAAACGATATTATACTGTCATATCACTTGCTCCGCTTTAACAACTGGTGAACGGGTTTGGCACCGTCTCATCACGCCTGAAACGCCCAACTGTCCGCAGCGAACTACACTATATGAAGTGCCTAGACCACCAAATCCGCTGAAAACTTGTATACAGGGTTATTTAACATCCTGATTACGAATATGACATTCATTCTTGGCGCTGGCGCTAATGGAGGACACTACGATTTATCTGCGCTCTACTAAGGCTGAGCCTAAAAAGATAATCGTAGTGTCTTCCATTAGCACCAGCGCCAAGAATGAATGTCACATTCGTAACCAAGATGTTAAATAACCCCTGTATACAAGTTTTCAGCGGATTCGGTGATCTAGGCACTTCATGAATGACTCCAGCGGAAAGCGCGTCCAAACGGCGTAAGCCATCTCGGCCTGCTTTACTACTTGACGACTCGAACCATTCGAGTAAAACGCTCCTCGCTAATATTTGGACCACTGCTAATCGGACAAAAGTCAAGGAGAACTTTTTTGAACATTGCGGCAGTCTGATGGTCAGTAAAGAAGCGCGGTCAGTCGCGCGAATTAATCGTTGTAGTCGCGAAGTATGAACGCGATCTTATGGAGGTGGTCTAAGCGTCGCTGCTGTTCTGTTTGTTTTTGACTTCTGCGCATAGAAAACCATTTCCCTATATCCAAAAGTCAAACATACGACAACCGTCCTATGTGACTTCGTCGGGGATCCAGCGACGTACGCTTGACCCTGCACCCACTGGTTGCAAATTTCGTGTGAGTTGACTGAAGTGTTTATCTAAGGGAACCTTTTGCGGAGCTACACATCGAGTTCGCTGCGGACGGTTGGGCGTGTCAGCCAGTATGAGTGTGTCACCCCGTCAAAGCCGTTCTCTGCCTTCTTGTTGAAACGCGCATGCGACAAAAAGTGGTAGAAAACGAGTAATACGAAGGATATGATACAGTATTGTCACTTGCTCGCGCTTCAACAACTGGTGGAGAACGAGTTTGGCACCGCGCCAAACGCAGCCGCACTGACACGCCCAACCGTCCGCAGCGAACTACACTATATGACTTCGTGAAACGCAGCTGAGTCAATAAGAAACAAACTGAAACACTACTTTGAATGACAAATGACACAAATTCAGCATGCCAACTACCCATTTATTAACAAACTCTACAAAATATGGTAACAAGTACCTAAAAGGTAAACATGTCTTCTAAACAATAACACCACCGGTTCAGCTAGCACCGTTCTCCCAAGACTATTATGAACATAGGAAAAAAACTGTGAATTCTAAAAACGTTTTTTGGTAATACTGTCTTGAGGCAATACACTGAGGTTCTACAGCTTTACAAGCATCGGAGCGATCAAACTCTTGGACTTTTCACCACCAACCAGCAGTTCGACGAGCTTCAGCGCGAACTCGAACGCTGTTCCAGGGCCACGGCTTGTTATCACTCGATCGGACACCACCACACGATCTTCGCTGTATTTGTAGCCTCAAAGGGAAAAAAACAATAGCGATCTGGCAGTCTTCCATTCAAAGGCGAAAATTTTGAAAAATATACCTCCTTCTTCCAGCTGCGACTTTACAGACGGATGACTTGTTACCAACGCGGCCGGAATTCCATGCGATTTCAGCGTAATTGGAGCTGCACAGATGGCTGCCACGTATTTACCAGCACTATGGTGAGCTTTCATCACTTGTCCAACAACAGGGCTCTGAAAAGGGGGCACTGGCATAACAGGTAAATCTAGCCCATTAGAAAGTAACAATACCAGATGATAAGTCTGCAGAAAGCTAACGAAAAAAAAGTAAATGAAGCGAAGCTAATCTTCAAGCTAAGGAAGGAGAGAAACGGAAAGGTAGTCACCGATTTGCAAGTGAAGGAGAGAAAAAACAACGATTACTAGTGAATAAAATTCTTAGACTTTGGAATAAGGAGTAGTTAGAGCAAAGTAGGCTAGACCACGCCCATTCTTAGCTCTGCTGCGCTCCCCGAAGCTGACGCCTTGAGCTATCTCGATAGGAGAGAGCAGACGAACACAGAACAGATGCAGCCTGGTTTCACTGTCGACTGGCCCATAACTACACTAGAACCACAAATCGAAGATATAAAGAGGTAGAACCGATAAATAGACCTACCGCAGCTAGCGTGTTGCTACCAGGCTGTCCTCCTGGGAGGATAACCACATCATATGTCGTCGAGAGCACATCGTTCAGAGCACGATCAGGTGTGACCATTGTTTTTCTTGCACATGTCACAACACCAGGCCCATTCAAGCCAGCTATTGTTACCTAAAATCGTTGCAGCTCAACTCTGCAATTACAGTACGCTACCGTATTCGTGATATCAAAACATATATTCATTAAATGTTTTATTTTGAATTAAACAGAAGCATCAAGTTGGGTGCTCAGGTGTTTGGAGGTGTAGAGGACGGAGTGGAGGATAGCGTTAAATCGCAGTTCAAAGGCGCAGGGATTCATGTAACAAGAAATCGCGTTGATATGCCCGCATGGTGGGTGTGCCGCGCGACGAGGCGCCCGATAAACGAGTTATCCTCGTGGCCATTTGACTTTGGGTATTGAAGGAGCGGGAAAATTTTATAGCACTCATTAAAGAACCTCTTGAATTCTTTTGGTTTCCGCTGCTCCAGTCGACAAAGTGATATACATCAGGACTTTGTCGAACGCGTCGCCGCAGCACATTACGCCGCCACGCGACGGCGCGCCAGAACTCATTGACAGTTGTTTGCGCAAAAGGCTCCGAAGTGGCTCCCACGCCGGCTTTCCACAGCAGATTAGTTCCTGACCGCCTGCACTACAAGCCTACTGCTGGACGGTTAGGCGAGAGTTTGGACACACAGGCACTGTTCAGTGCCGTCCTCTTCCTTCAAATAACGTTTAACGCCCTAAACCTGTAAGCTGAATCTTATGATGATGTTAGTATACAATCGTTTTAAGTTCCGTTAAAGTTATTTTTTTGTACCAAAAAAGTGTTATTCAGTTAAAACAACAAAATCAACCTGTAAATAACAAACAAAAAATTTGTGCAAAAATTTCGGCACATGTGCTTGGTGGGGGGCATTTTTGCCTTGTTTCCATTCTACCAATTCTATTTTGAAGTCTTCTTTCTGCGCTCTCTTAAGCCTACAGTTGATTGGGAGAAAGGGCGTCACAGAGGACGTCCCCCCCCCTTCAATAGGTTAACACCGAGTTCCAGCTGCCAGTTGCTATGCTTGTTTACTTGTGTAATTGCTTGAGAGAAAACTATAGCTTTTCTTTCATTTTCCAATCGACGTTGTTCATTACCTCTGTGCTAGCAAGAATGAAATATTTTGATCAAAAAGTCTCTTGTGGAGACTTCTGAATTCCAGTGAAGCTATGCAGTAGCATGAGATACGTTTATTTGAACACCAATTTACAGCTTACCGTATGAATCGTTTTACGTTCAAAAGGAACTAGCGAGTAGAAATCGAGATTAATGCAAAATCCCTCCTCCCGTGGAGCCAAACAGGTCCAAAATTCGAACTTTCTCTCGAAATTTAATAAACTGCATTACCACCTCAACTCCACCTCTCCTCAACACATCGGCTGTGATTATCGCCTCCATTTCTTCAGCACCATCAGCAAGTATCAGAAGAGCAGTTTTCGATGACATACTAAATATGGTAATATTTAAATAGTCATTTCCATTGGAATTCTCTTGAGTTTCATTTGATCCAAAAGTATGGAGACTACAATTTTTTCAAAACAATGGACATAGCTGCCGTTTCCTATAGCTAATCCATAAACACAGACAGAAGCAATGTTTTATTCAATTCAACAAGAAGATGTAAACTTAACAACTTAATACTTCTATAACCTAAACAAGTATACCAGTGCGTATTATACAATCGATTTCTCAAGATTTTCATCCTCTTTTTTTTTCTCCACAGGCTCCACAGATCCATACCTTCCTTCCTGAAAATGAGTGATTTGCAGATAGAGGAAAGTTACTTCTTACTAGACGTGTGAATCCAAGCTATCAGGGAACGAGCTGGACGAAGGGTTTCTTCAGTCAGGGGGTGGGGGGAGGTGTGGAGGAGGAAAGAGCCACCGACCTCGTTTTCAGTACGAAGCGTGATTGAGATATCCTCTTAGCAAGAACCACTTCCTACTAAATGACCACCTCTTCGCGCAGGATGATAAAGAATGCCGTTTAGCCTGTACGTGTCTCGGGGGCGGGCAGGGCGAGGGTGGTGGCTGCATTCTCACGTCAACGCTGTAGCTCCCGCTATTTTTTGTAGGGACGGAAGCTTGGTGGAAACTATTTTTTAAATCCAGCGAAATGTTTGGCAATCGTCACAGGTGGCTGCACCTTACCCCAGTTCTCCCAGTTTTCGACTGAACGCTGCTCGCCTATTTCTGAGCCTGATGCAAAGCCTGCCTGAGCTCCGTGCCCACAATCCCCCCTCGACACTGGAGCCCATATTGCACACCGTTCATGTATCCGAGCAATTTCTTCCGTAAAGCCAAGAATCATGAAGCCAGGACCAGGAGTTTTTACGATCCAAGCCTTTTCCCCTGATGTATTTCTGACACGTAACCCTTTGAAAATTCGTGCTACGGCGAAGTTGCGAATAAAGGAATTTCACGGGATGGACATCAGGTCGTCTGAAATCTTTGACATTTGGATACAAGCGTCATTTTCACGGCTGTAAGCCACATACTTACTCTCTGATTGTGCGATTACAGGGCTTATATCAAACAGATGCTCCCTCGCTGCGAGGATCTAGAGGCACTTTCTCATGGCATTTTCTTGCCAAGCAATGCAAGGTGTACAGTGAGGAAGAAGGAAGGAACGCAGAGAAGGAATGAAGAAGCAAAAAAAAAAATTAGGAGCAATTAGGAGTTCGCGGTTGATAGATATCTTGAGACTGTGCGGCGTGCGAAACCATGTGGTACGCGGAGTAAAGGGCACGATCGCGATGTAGAGAGAGTTTTTCAATAGGACCACATCTTCTAAGATACTGAGCGAGGGAGACCTCTTTAGTAAACCATCAAAGTAAGATTACCTTGCCAGCGACTAGGAAAATGATCTATACAGAGGGCATGAAACAAGGAAAATTCAGCAGTCGGAAGATTTTCACCGGTTTAAATACAACCGCTTTAGGTACGACCGCCCCCAAGCTACCCGCTATGATTTGCATAACAACGATGTGCCTTAGCAGGAACTGCCGCCTCCACAACGGCAAGAGAACGCGATGACAAAGAGAGAAAAGAGTGCGACCTGAAAGTGTTCCGTGTTCGGGCGGTTTTATGAGCACTGCCCACTCAAACCATGAAAGTTTCCGGGTAACCCAAGTTTTACTTCGACCCCTCTGAGTACAAAGTTTTTCAAAGAACCAGATGATCCTATAAACACACCTTGTAAGCCTGTCGTATTTGCTCTCCATAGGACAATTCAAACAACGTTTCGGGGTCCATTTTAGGTGGTGGCCACCGCTCGTCCTCTAGGGTGTAGAGGTCCGCCAAAGCCTTGGAACCCTTCTCTTTTACCTAAACTGCCATTTCAGTCGACGTGTTACCGACAAAATGAGTGCGTTTCCAAAATAAACATTCCTAAATAGCAGTGAGAATGAGTACAAAACATTACCTTGGCCTCATAGATCCGCTTTTCTCTTCTCAATTTCTACATCAGTCCGGTAGGATACGTAAGGTTTCAGTCTATAAGAAGAGCGACTATCAATTTACCTAGCTTACGAATAAAAAAATGTAAAAAAAGAGTGAAATGAGATGAAAAGACACCTACTTGAATCCATCTAGATTTGGCACAACAAGCTTTGCTTGCATTTCCGAAACTACGACAAATTTCCCAGTAACAGGATCGACATATCCTTCGTCATGTGTTCCAGTATACCTTAAATTGCACTGCTATGCAAGAGCTCATGAATATCAGAGAATTTTTAACAACGTTCAATCCTACAACATTTCGATAAGGCACGGAAGAGCTGGTAATCACAAACTGTCACACAATCACCACATGTAAGATGGAAAGCTGGAAAAGAAAAGAGAAATCCAAGCTCGACAAAAAAGACTGTAGATATACCCTACTTTCTGGGGTCGAATAGTCATACGCGACAACGCGCGCGAGAATGTTCCTTAGATTACATGCAACATTTTCCTCTTCTCTTTTTTTGTCCCCTTTTGCATACATTAAACCTTCCAAGCGCTTTTTAAGAATCTCTCATTGAATACAGGTCACTAATATGGACAAAACAAAAAAAAACACGCAGAAATATAATGATAAAGAAATTACTCGCGGTTTTTTGAAAGGAAGGTGGTGTCTGTACAATCGGTGCGCCTACACACACCAGGAAACAGGGTAATATAAAACACTGAGAAAATCACTGAGTTCGCTGCGATGGAATTTGTTTGTTGGCAAATACGAGAAAAAAAAATAATCTAGGATGCACTTACAGTTGCGGTGATCACGCCTAGGCGGCGACAGCATGACCTTCGGCGCTCGCTTCCTCACGGAAACGCCATTTCCTTTTTTAAGACGATGAAGGAGAGGGCGTAGAAATGACGATAGCTGATGAGACGGTGTCTCCGCCCATGTGACCCGTATGGAAGGTGTCTTTAGGATTATACAAGAAGCTGTTTCTCTCATAATAAACAATTTTAAGCGTTAGACGGCAATTACATACATAAACTTACTTCTCGCAGGCTACACGCACACATACAGTCCAGCTAACAGTACAGTAATTATGAGCTTTAGCATTTCCAAACACCTGATCATTCCACAGTGCAATGTTCGGCGCGCGGAAATTAGGAGAAATTCCGATTTCCATGGAGGCTCATTCGAGATGTAATTTTTTCTTGCAAAAGAAGCTTGGAAGGAACTTCAAAGGAACCGAGGCTTCAATTGACGAATTGGATTTCTTGAAACAAGCACATAATATACTTAATTATGAGCCAAAGAGAGAGGAGGAGAGGGGCGAGTAGAGTAAAAGCAAGGATAAAAACAATGTCAATGAATAAGTAGAAACAAACAGAAAAAGAACCACGCGAAGAAACGGTAGTGATGGAAATCCTGCAGATTATGCGTTCAAAGGACAAAATTTTCTTAATCTTCAAGGCTGGGCTCCATAACTTTCCGACTCGGGAGAGTCGGCGTTTGGGCTGCCCTCGATGCCTATGTATTCCTTTTCTCTTTGCCGAACAATGATACTTACACACAACGCTCAAACCACCGTGCCTACTACTTTTCGCTTTCGTACAACCTCGGGAAAAGCCACTAGAGAAGAAATGACACAGCAAGTTCCCCATCTGACAGCATATCCAACGTGAAAAGCAATATAACCCTATCATGTTCAGGTGATTATTGGCGTACATGAAACACGAACACAAAACATAGCTTTGCAAATTTTGTACGTAATGGCTACTGATCTTACTCACTTGTGTAGCTGTTCAGGGTTCTCCTTGTGCCATTTCGGTGACAACTCCGGAAATTCGCGATTCTGACCAGGCCACTTCCACTTCTCATAATTGAATGGTCCAATTTTTCTTTGACCATATGCACCTAAATCCAATGAAATATTGTGATTTTCGGCACTATTTACCCTTTACTGCCCCAACCATCCAGAATTGAGCCAGTTTCTGACCGACTTTTTTCTCCGTGGACAGATTTGGCTCAAATGTTGTCTCCTGGGGTATTTTGACCTCCTGAATACGAATATGACATTCGCTTAGCCCGAAACCTCTTGGCGCCCGCGCCACACGCGCCGGTGATATTCGTGTTCAGGAGGTCAAACTACCCCTGAGAACAAGTTTTCAGCGAATTTGGTAATTTAAGGTATTTTGGCGCCGGCGCCTGTGGCGCGGGCGCCAGGAGGTTTCGTGCCTAGCGGATGTGATATTCATGTTCAGGAGGTCAAACTACCCCAGGGTACAAATTTTCAGCCAATTCTGCCAAGGCAGAAAAAAGTCGGTCAAAAACTGGCCTGTTTTCGGAAGATTGGGGCAGTAAAGGGTAAATAGTGCCTGATCTTCCATTTATTGACATAAAATAATTGTCTGGGTCAAGCCTTCAGATCGAACCTTCTGTGAGCTCACAGCGCGCACCGTAAGCTTGTAGGTTAGTGTTTCCCCAATCTTATTTTCAGCACTATTAAAGAACATTTGGGATTTGGGAGTTTCAACGACTACAGATGCATGAGTCTTGCTGCGTTCATACTTTGTGTATGCCAGCGCCACCGACTAGGAACGTATAGATAGCAATATAGCAATTGGCGTACGCTAGCGTATAGCAATGTTTTGAGCGACTATGAAAGAATAGACATCGATCTAACGTACGCCAGCGTTTTCGCGGGCAATTTGAGCTTGAGCAAAACCGTTTCAGGGTAGTCAACCTTTAGGCCTCTCTTCTCTTTTCTTTTTTCTTCCTCCTTCCTTTTTTCTTTCACCCTTCTCTGATTCCTTCTCCTTTACCTTCACCATCACACTAGTGGAGTGGTAGATGCCTATGGTCGCAACGAGAGCACCTCTGGTTGACAAGAGCCCCATACCCGAGCAAAACAGCCCGCAAAAGCGCTGTTGCACGCTAACACAATATATGAACGCAGCTTTAAGGAGTGAAGGAGTTGTCTTACAACCATTTCCTTGATGATGCTCTTTCATTGTGCCTCTATGCCAAGTTCGCTTGGAAGCAAAAACTTTACATCACATTTTTGAGAGCTTTACCTTTTTTCACAAACGGCCATGGAGAGCGGAAATTCCACGCATTGAGCGATCTTACTCCCATGTGACGGGGAGCTTATCTTGGAGTCAAGTGAGGGCAGTGGCAGTGGCTATAGAACTGATTGCGGAGTGACTGTGCTGACGCTGCGGGAGCGCGGGCAGAGAGCTGAGATGTAACATATGTTGCCTCAATTTGTAAGCAAAATCGCAGTTTACACCTGAGTGAAAGAACAATAGAGATAGAAATTGTGGTGGATAGCCACATTTCCCTGGAAATGGTGGTTCGCACGGAAATTTCCGCGAAACGGGTGGCGCAGCGCGTACTCAGAATGTATTGGCGGCACAAAGAATGTTGTCGTACACGGGTTTTGCTTGACCGTTTAAGGGACTTGAACTGTACTGGAAAAGAAACCAGTGAAGGTAGTGGACCCAATACCACACTTTACAACGATCAAAACCAAGTAACTTTTTATCCTAGGTTTAATAACAAGCCAGTCCAGCTACGAGTTTGAAAAGCTAACAAATTGGCAAGTTAATACTGCAACGAATTACGCAATTGCACAAAACTACCGGTAACAAACTACATCTAATTATGGACTTCTAATTATCCATCAATACCATCACAGTTAACTAACTAGAGCTACAGTCACGAACCTACACAGGCAGAATATCACGAACAGTTTGCCATGGGACAACCAAACAATATCCAACTAAAACATTCTGGGAATTGTGAGAAGCTGATAAAACTTATAACAACGTCATCAGAACTAAAGTTAGTAAAAATTTTTTTAGTTACACAACTCTTATACCTCAGATATCAACTGATTTCCTTCAACAATTGAAAATTCATAACAATTGGTGAGAAACGTCTATAGGCCGGCTTTTGCCTCGATTCCCAGCACATACTTGTAGTAGGCGGCATTCATTTGCTCGAGGAAAATGAATGTGATTACAGTGTGTGGTCCAAGACGCATGTAATACGGCGTGAAACCCTTCCACAATGCAAACACACCTTCATTCTTTATTACCTGAACATTGGGACAATGATTATCAGTGGGAATGAAAATCAACTGGAAACGAGCTTCCTGCCCAGATTAAGGTAGTTTCAACCAAATTCTTACCTTCACCCATACGTCGAACGCATTCTTGTATTCGGGTTTGCCATCAATCACCTTCATGGATTGGATCCTTAAATTATAAAGCTGTCAGGGGCGTTAACGTAGTTGCACAGGTTCAGCGACACAACGGGAGACGAGCAGGAGACGCGCGTGTCGCGCGCAGCGCACCGCGCGACAGAAGACGCTGCGGCTTGCTACGCCCCGCGACACTAGGTCGCAACGACTATGGTCGTCTGCGCTCTCACAAGGCTAAGAGTTGGCTAAGAAACAGTTGGCTTACTCTCGGTACTTCCCCCCTCCAACTACGTTAGCGCCGAAATCGCAGAATTTTTCTACTACTTTGACAAATTTCATGACATGTGCACTGGTTTGAGAGCATGTTTCCCAACCCTCATTTTGCGCTTTCTTAGGCCGGATTCCTCTGATTAAACTTATGTAAACGCATTGCTACCGTTAAAAACGGGGAACGTCGTACATTAAGGACCATCAGCGGGAGGCCATAATTGCCTTTGAGAAGATGAGGAGAATATTTTCGGTTGCTGACTTTTCTTTGCTTCTCCTACAAGGTGCCATACCCCAACTCCCCCACCCCCACTCGATGGTACTTTTTTCCGAGGGAAAAGTGAAAAATTTCCCAGAATAATTCCCTTAAAGGTGGCAGGAAAAAGGAAAAATTCGGGAAAAAAAGATGTATGTAGGATGGGAATAAGAAAAGGGAGTCGTATCAGAGAAGGAAATACTGGGAAGTGTTGAGGGGACGTATTTCGCGAGAATTTTCCCCCAACGGCAGGATCCTCCGTCAAAAATGCGTTGGAAGGGGCGCTTCATTGTTATTGCAATTTTTGTGGCTCAAAACAAGTTGTTCACTCGAGTCGCAAAAAAACACCAGACGGAGATGGACGTGCCAATACTGTTCCTGTACAAGGAGGTGCAATGCGCTCGAGAGGTCCTTTCCCTTTTTTTGAACCACACTTTAAACTTGCAATCGAGTATGGTGATTGACAGACGTAATTTCTATGCAACAGAGACCAATAAATCACCTGCACTAATGCATCCACTTGCACACGATCACTCCTCACGTATGTAATTAATTCGTTATTCTTAGAATACAACCATAGAATATTATTCGAGCCAATAACCTAGTTTTTCGCAATGCTCGACAAGGGCATCGATGCGATCTAGTCGAGCATAAGCAGAGACCATGGATGCAAGGAAGTAAGCAAAAAAGAGATAAAGGGAAGGCAGAAAATAACTATAATAACATGTCTTTGGCAGTCACCAAGAAACGGTAAAAAATGAACAATCCCCATCGATGGACGTACTCCCGTCTCGCAGTAGGGCTTGTTTTTTGATATGATGAAATATGTCGGCCAATGGTATGCAGCCATTCACAACCATTGACACGCATTACACAGATGGCAGTGCACAACCCTAACGAAAAGAGAAGAAATTAGTCAAAGAAACAGTATTGAGCTTTTGCTTTTTGACCAAATCCCCGTCAAACTAGGAGTTTTTTATCAGCCACTGACAAGGATCTCTTAACGAGAGAATCAACTGCACAAAAGACAAGTCATTTCATTGCCCATTCGTCCGCCTAAAGAAAGAGCTCAATGGTGGGGGGGGCAGAAATTGTGACAATTTAGAACTATATCAACCTTCAAACGCATCACTTTTCCAACAATACTTTCGCGCAAATTTAGCAAGGTTGGGACATTCTGCAGGCTTTGTGCCAAATATGATCGAGTGAGCTATGGAGAGGGAAGTTTCACAGCAGCTAACAGGAAAGCCCTTTGAGGCTGCAGTGAACGATCCACTCCTGCGAAGAGTGGTATCGATCCGAACACCGTTAGCTAATTGCCACCAAAATGCCATCCAATCGTGATGAAGCGCTACTACCCTACACAAGTCAACTTAATGGGCTGAGAAGTCAGGGACTCTAGGACGTTCCCTGCCCACCTAGATAGATTACACAACTTATCTGATAACAGCCGATGTTCTCATCACTGGAGGATCCAGAGCGTAATTTTCTTCACATCTATCAAGACCGCGCATTTGTAGGCAACCATATAAGCAAGAGGTGATGATGAAAGAAGATGCAGAGTAGAGAGAGAGAGTAGGGAAGAAAAGAAGGGAGCAGGGAAAAAAGAAAAGAGAAGGAGGAAAACGGTCTAGTGTGATGCGCCGACCGTGTGTATGAACAAGGGATCACTATTTCAAGGAGAGGGGGGGGAACTGGCGAGGTGAACGAGCAGTAAGTAGATCTTGCCATCGCGTTTGTCCCTCCCTGTCACACCAACTTGCCTTACTGCTTTTGCACAATTACTTTCTTTCTTCTTATGACCAGTGAAAACGTCATAATCATACTTATACTCACCCTCCACAAAGTGAAAACGCCTTCCTCTTTCACAACACGAATCAGAGCATCAAACACGTTCTTGTAATTACGACGTTGCTCAGGGAGGTAGTCGACCATCGCCTGAACCGCATGTTAATCATTTTTAAGCCCGATTATTACACACAAGGCTCCTTGTCTATCATTCATTTTTGCTCACGCAAGAAACCGCTTAGAAGGTTGCATCGATACTCCAATCTCTCGAAACTCTTTCAGGAAAGATCAGGGTAACCAGGCAATAACACAGCTTCTCAATTAACATACCAGTCATTCTGATCAGCGCCAACTCCGCTGGTGTTCCAACAACAGATCCCACGGCTCCCGCAGTCATACCTAGCGATGCCTTCATGGCAAAAGAAGGTGCAGCATCGCCACTGAATAGTCCGGGAGTTGCCAGAGGGTAACGAAGAAGAACAATATCAATGGCACTGGATGGAACTCACGTCTTAAAATGTTCGAACAGGTACGTGTAGGTTCCCAGCCTAGTTGTGGTGTAGGTTGCTTGACGAAGCAAACCTGCACTGAGGCCATTATAAACAGCCAAAACACCTTCATTTCGGATGATCGATGTCAGCGCGTGAATACTCGAACGATATTCTTTTTTACCTGGAATAGACAACCTTGTGCAGTGCAGTGTTCCTGAGAGACACCTTGCACAGCACCAGTTGGTAGGGGACGAGGAAAATTGTAAGCTAGTTAACAATCACTTATCTGAGAGCACCCCGCAAGGAAAACGGAGTGAAGAAAATAGTAATGTCATTTGTATACAACCCTGGTTCCCTTACAAGAATGTCGGCTCTCCACTTATCCGGAACTGCTGAGATCCCTTTCATCTATATCTTCCCCTTTGCCATCCACCTCTCAAAGCTTGTCTTTGTTGTAGAGTCAACGAGACCCTACTTGAGACGCTCCAGGGGGTCAAATCGGCCAGCTGAATAGTGTTTGTACTAATAATAAGAATGAGAGAAACTAGAGACAGGGCTCGTCATGGCACTGGGGAAATTATTTGTAAAATGCGAGACTGTGTTTATTTAAAATTTATTCCTCTCATAGATCCCCGCTCCTCATCTCTCATCCTCGCAAAGTTTCCGGCGTTGACCATTTTTTTGCTTCTGGAAAATAAGAGAAGGGGCGATAATGTGAACTGAGGAGTGAATCACCTCCCTAAAATAGGCTTTGGTTCGAAGGCAAAAAACGAACTCCGTCGCTGGGGATTCTTCAACGTGGGGCATGTCTGTTTTTGTGATATTCTAGCAGTTTCTGGTGCCCAGAATTACTCGCAACCTCTCCCTTTCATGGTCGACCATTTTTTTTTGTTTCTGGAAAATAAGAGAAGGGGCGAGAAGGGGAGGATAAGTCGGTGAAGAGCTGAACCTCGCGAGCAAGAAGACTATCGTACAGTTGTGCGGCCGCTGTGGAGGGCTGACACCGTGGGGCTGGAAAAACGGCGCCGTGGCTGACAAATCTAAAACAAAATCTGTTCCTATACCGATTTCGTAGTTTCATAAATAGGGAACGGGCAGCTAGGTGTAGGGTGTTTTTTTCTCACTCATTAAGTTAACAGTGAAGGTAGCTAGGTGTACGCTTGTCTTTTTTTCTCGTTGCCTTCCACAACCCACCGACACTCTCCCCTAACTACAACGGCTCCAAACCTGGATGGCCGCCGTATTGACTGTTAACACACTGGAGTGTTATCAACATTTTAACTAATAAAAGGATACGGAAAGATGTGAAAGGGTTAGTCAAATACCGTGAGACGCAGGACAACTGCATTCTGTTCTTGACAAGATCCAACGGTTGAACAAACAGTGTCGCTCCCATTCTGCAAACAATGAGTACTTCATATTTTACTTTCTATATAAAGAGAAGGGTTCTTGGTGCTGATGGGTTGGGGAGGGCATTATGCACTTTCACTAGTTTCTTTTGCTAGATCCTTCAAAACTATAAGTCACACTTGAGTGGGATCTGCCTGCTCTTTCCAATCGGAAGCAAAGCTCATGCACGCACAGATTTGGCGAGAATGTTACGAGGTTCGCGCCGAAGATATCGAACAGGATGGACGCCAAGCCAGCGAAAAGGCCTCCCACATTAGCACGAACTGTGCTCCGATTTTTCTCACATCAAAACCAGCATCGTTATTGGACAATTACGACGGCTTCTTCCTCGCATGTGTCCTCCTCCGCACACATTCATCTGCGGGGACATTGGAATACGTGGATTCAACAAATCATAAAATCATGTTAAACAACAACAACAACGAAAAGGATCTCCAATTTCCCTAGCGCTTTTCTCATACCACTTTCTTTATCACACCCGGGCACTTTACGAGCATTACGACAACTTTCACATGGACAGCCACAAACTGACACAGCAAGAGTTCAGACAATAGGATGATACTGACTATTGTCTTGTAGTCACTCTAAAAGTAAAAAGATATAGAATTACAACCTTGAGCTTACAGGCTGCGGTCATGGCTTAAACAGTTCTTCATCAAATATGTTTGGACGCTAATAACCGTGAGAGGGGCAGGGGGAATTCGAGGACTTCTCGTGCAAAAATGATTAACATAATGGAATAGATGTACGGTTCTTTAAATTGATTGGTCGACCCCAGGTTTCAGACAATAGTTCTCATCTCCATTGCGAAATCAAAGTTCTGCAGAAGTCCTTCAAATGCGCTGGTCCAAGATTACTAGCGTCTAAAACTGAAGCCATATTTGCAGAGGTAAGACTATGTCAGCGTTGTGCATGTGGCACCGCTAACCACACATATGAGGCGGGGTTCAAATCCCGGAAAGGCTTTCTCCCCAACGGTCCAAACTTTCCATCTCTTGCGAATCACAAATCATTGACGGATACTGGTCTGGAAGAAACAACCTTGAACGCCTCCTCGCGAAGTCATTTACAGGTCAAATCGCATTCACTGCCCGGAGGGGGGGGGGTTGATCGTGCCGAACGCTCCACTCTTAGTTATCACAAGAATGCTGAGTTGTGGGCAAAAGTCGGACCAGGGACAGGATTCGAACCCGCATCTTCGGAGCCGGTTAGCCGATATCGGCAGTGAACCGCAAGGCTGAAGGCTTTTTACAAGTTTCAAGCTGTTATTGTTTGATAACTGCTGTTTAACGCCGCAGTACGCGATCCGAAAGTTATCACAAGAATGCTGAGTTGTGGGCAAAAGTCGGACCATGGACGGGACCATGGCCTTCACCCTTGGCCCCAGTCACCACTCCGATTAACTTTTGCATATCTACACCATTAACCCATTGAAATTGTGTCCTTTTCATGCCTGCAAAATGTAAAACTTATTTAATTTCCGGTCAGGGAAGCCCTTACGTTCTGGCCAGACCTATTCTAAACCTAATTATGAGCGCTCTTACCCATTCTTCAACACAAGAGAACTTTTTCACGATATTGCGTCCCTTTGCAAACGATTACCAAACTAAACAGCTGTTCCGAAAGCGTTCACAACTCTTCACTGTTACGTTTAGATCGATTAGAGCCCGAAACTCGAAAATGTTCAAGTAGTAGAAAGGCTAGTAGTTGATTTAATCGAGAGAAACTTTAATAACTATTATACTTCCGCTCACCCAGCCGCGCCACCGAAAACGAACTTCACACCGTTGGGGATTGTCCCCTTGTTGGTCGACATGACTGCAGAGCCTGAAAGTTTCCTTGAATTTCACTGATTATATCAATTAGCGATATTTGGAAGCGCTAATCAACAAAAAATCAATAACTAGTAATGCTGCGACAAAGTTTACACAATGGGAAGTGGACTTTGGTTCGTAGCGATGACAACATCTAGGCGTCAATCAAGCACTGGTTGAAGGCAACCACAAACAACAGGTGTGCTTCAATTTTTAGAAAGGTTCAACGCAATCGTATTTGCTTATTTATTTCCATACATATGAATCTACATGCAATAAACGACATAAGGATTACGTATTGGCTCAAGGATAAAGAACAGGTTAGACAGAATAAACATCCAATTGAAATTTAAAAGATTTGTTTCGAGTCCGGTTTTCCCCGCCAAGGCTGCGTTCATACTTTGCGACTGAGAAAACTCGGCGATCTGGGAGATCGGAGACTTGAAATTGTACGACGAGGAAAATGAAGGTGTTGATTTGGCGACTGTAGTTTCGGTGGTCTGGCGCTCTCCCGAAACGCAGGTCGCCGAGTCTCGGCCGCGGCGCTCGGTCTCCCAAATCACCAAATCGCCTCAGCGCAAAGTATGAACGCGACGCTAATCTTCTCACTACACGTGGAGAGAAGATCAGCTCTCTGAGTCGCGATTTCGTCCATTGATTCGTGGATCAGAGAAAGTATCGTGAAGCGTTTATGGCTCTCGATATAGCTCCGATCGCTTTTGTATATTTCGAGTTCGTTTGGTACGTTCAATAATTACAAGTGTAATTTGACAGTAGTACTGACTGGTAGGAAAATCATCATTTATTGAATTTCAAGTGTAATGGGACATGAAGCACTTCAATTCTTGTTCCGACCTTTTCAAAAAAAACAGTAGTGACAGGCTTCCTTTGCGCTTACCAGTAACAACAAAAACCTTGTAATTATCACAATTAATATGGACTATGGGGGATGAACATATTGCAGAAAAGGAACGACAGGTAAAAATTTAACAAAGAAAACCTAGACAAATACTATCA